CCTGGACCAAGGCCGGCGCCGGCGATGAGTCCGACCAAAAGTCGCTCCCTTCCATATTGTGATCGTTGCTGTTGCTGTTGACGTAAAGGTTGAGCTTCCCACGATTGTCGCGCTGGTAGTCCACCACATCGTCGTCGCTGCTCTCGTCCGCTGCATCAGCGAAGATCTCATGTCGCTGTTATCAGCACACGACACACACGACACGCACACGACACGCACACGACACGCACGACGCACGACACGCACACGACATATGACACTTGTTGAGAATTCAAGAATGCTGTGTGCGGTGTGTGCGGTGTACGTACCAGGTGGGCGTCGGGCGTGGGTAGCGGGTGGTGGGTGAGGTCGCGCGAAGGCAGCGACTGCGGAAACGTGTCCATCTCAAAGTCCAGCGAGGAGGCTGTGGCCATCTCGTTGAGGCTGAGGCGGTCGGAGTCGTTGTAGCGCAGGGAGCGCGGGGGCAGGGCGGGCGGGCCGCCACCTCCGATGGTGGAGGGGAGGGGCGAGGCGTCGAAGCCAAAGTCGATGTCCCACATGGGGAGGGCCGCGGGGGTGGCAAAGGCGAACGACGAGGAGGGCGGGGCGGAAGCCTCGGTGAGCTGGCGCTCGAGGAGCGAGGGGCCGTCGAGGGCGAGCTGCTCGCTCGTGCCCAGCCCGAACCACGAGTCCACCATGGCGCTGCCCCGCGCCGTGAGCCGCCCCACTAGGCCCGGCCCCTGGTCTGGTCGCGCGTCCCACCCGTGGAGGTAGTCCATCTTTTGTCTCTATGTTTTATTTCTATGAATTTACGTTTTGAGTTGTTGCTGTGGAGGAGAATGAAGATGAAGTGGCTGAAGATGTGAGGTGTGTTCCTTTATCTATTGGGGGGTTGATGGAGAAAGGTGTGGGGGTGGGGGACTTGAAACCGTCCGTGTTGCCTGGGGGCGTTCCATGTTAAAAAAGGCAACACACCCCAAAGAAGGAAAAACGTAGCGGCATCACCGCGCAAACAACAACAAGAAGAGAGAATGCAGTATGTACATCGGCTACGTAGCCACACCACTTCATGAGGCGCCCATCGCCCTGAGGATGATGGACGAAGAGGCACGGGGCGAAGATAAGTGTGAGTCGACCTGGGCGGGTTTGCAGAACAGGGCTCAATCGTCGAAGAGAGGGTGGCTGGGTGTGTGGTAGCGTGGTGCCTCGCCGAACGAGATCTGGCCGCGGCGGTAGTCGTCGGCGCTGGTGCCTGGGGGCAGGTTGCTCGTTCGCTGATAGGGGATGCCGTAGTGTTCGGCGATCTCCACGCGTCCTTCAGCCTCTTGCAGCTGTGTGGTCAATTGGTGAGGTGCAGATTTGGGGGGGGGTAATAATAGTATATAATTGGGCAGTGTACGTACCAATCGCTGGACCTCTTGTGGGTCAGTCTCGTACATGTGTTGATGGAAGAGCGTACGCGCCTCCTCGAGGATGTACTCACGCTCCTTGGGCGTTTGCGCGGGGTTGCGCGCTTCCCATGTGTTGCCCAGCCGCACCACTCGCTTGTACAAATCGCGCACCGCAGCACGCGAGCTCGCTCCTCCCATCATGGCGGCACTCCTCTTCATCTTGCTGCTACGATTCTATCAATTTTAATGTAGGCTGATCCAGCAAATTCGTACTGCATGCTTGCCTTTTGTCGACCAAAATTCCATTCTACGCAGACCACTCGTCGTCTGAGTCCAGCTCATCGTCAGGGTCGTCCTTGATCGCGCCGCGCCTGGCCGCCATCGCCGCGGCTAGGGTGTTGGCCAGCGAGTTGCCCTGGACCTCGTCCAGGTCCTTCAGGTCCGGCATACCGCCGCCCGCCACCGCCTCGGTCGCGCTGCGCAGCTTGGCCGTCTGCAGGCCCGCAAGCAGGCCGCCGCTCGGGCCGCCGCCGGCGCCCATGGTCGGAGGAGGCGGAGGGCCGGGGGCGGGGATGCCGGGCGGCGGTGGGCCGGGAAAGGTCGGGGCCGGGGGAGGGGGCGGACCGCCGCCGGGCGGGGAAGGCGGTGGCGGGGCGCCGGGGCCGGCCGGAATGGGGGGCGGGGGCGGCGGGCCTCCGGAGAAGGAGGGCGAGCCGTAGCCCGGGGCACTTGGTATGGGCGGCGGCGGGGCGAGGGCGGGGCGCTGGGGAATCGCGGGAGCGGCGGTGGGGTTCATGCCCATGGTGGCTTCCGCCACCGTGTCCATGATGAACTTGGCCGTGTCGCCTGCACACACCGCACACGGTCAGCGCTCGACCACCCATCTCACCAGATTATCAAGTGGTGTAGCGCACCATTGCGCAGTTCGCTCTTCGTGACGCCGGCGGCTTGGAACAGCTTGCGCCACTCGGGCGGGATGTTGCGGATCTCGAAGCCGTTGGTGTGATCCCAGCCTGCAGGAGAGGTGGTTACGGGGGTCATGGTCAACCTCAAACGATGGGCATCGAAGACAAGCGCGGGCGTTACCGATGTGTGAGGCGTGACGGAAGTTGGTGGGACCGCTGAGCGAGTAGTTGGCTGCAAGGCAACAACACAACAAGACGTGTTAGAGTTGATGGTTACTGAGGAAAACGTGCGCTGTGGTTCGGTAGGTACCACTCTCGTCGGCTTCCGCTGTGATACCCAGGCGGGAGGTGATATTGCTGAACCAGCCCTTCTTCTTTGTTTCCTTGCCCTTCCCCTGCGACTTTGGGTTGGTGTTGCTGCCGCTGCCTCCGCCGCCGCTGCCTCCGCTGTCGAGCGACCCCGGCGGACTCGGCCCCGTACCCCTCATCGTAGCCGTTCCGGCTGCAGTGGCGGCACACAAGCACAGGGTGAGATGGCGTGACAATTTGTTACGCTGTGGTGAGCGCAAGTGAGGGAAAGCGAGCGTACGGTTACGAGGTGAGAGTGGAGGTCGACTGAGGACGGGGGCGCTCAAGCTCGATGTCGAGGCGGACATGCCGCCCCCGCCCATCGGCGGGGTTTGGAGGCGAGGCGGAGGCACACCGCTGGTGGAATGCGCGAGCTGCGCCGGGGCGCCAGGGTGAAGGGAGGCGTTGTTGTTGTTGTTGTGGGGGACGGGACTGGGAGCGGGCATACGGAGCCGCACATCGACGACGGCGTTGTATAGGACGCGGGCGTCTTGCTCGTCGGCGAAGGAAAGCCCCACTACGGCCTTGTGGCCCTCGAAGGTGTGGAAGAAGGGAGCGGGGCTGCTGTAGACGATGTTGTCGTAGAGCTCGTGCTCCCAGATGGGAGTTCCCCGGTCCAGGTCGACCAGGCGCAGGAAGTGGCTGTCCCTTTCGGCCACCAGCGCCAGGCCGCCCCATTTGCCCTCGTAGCACCATCCACCGTTGTTGGTTGTGTAGAGACGCGCTACCGCAATCGCCTTCACGTTTCCGCCAACTACGCGACGCACGGTGCCTTTCTCTCCATCTGTTAAGCTCATCCTTGACCAGGTGCCCTGTATCTCTGTCAACGTTCTTGATTCTTCTGCACGCCTTTTATGTGGGACTTGTGGAGTGAAAAGGCGTCAGTCGGCAGAAAACAAAGAAAGGCCGGAAAAGGGCGAACGAAGAGATTGGATTGAAATTATTTACGTTTTTGAAGAAGATGGCCACAGTACATACAGAAAGAGGAGGTGAAAGGAGGATAGGTGACGTAGTAGCGACTACGTGTTGGACACCTTGCTTCGTTCGTTGAGGATTGCCCCCATCCTCTTCATCTTCTTCCCCAGCACTCCACAAAATTGATACCGGTTGTTGAACACGGCGGCGGAAACTGGCGTATGGTGATGGGGCGGCTGATGCTCTCGGTCAGGGCTGATCGAACGATTGCTGCTGGTGCCGTTGAGATGGAAGGTGGAGCCCACCGTCGTCGTGCCGTTGGCACCCAACGACTTGGCGTACGGAGAAGAGGTGGAAGAAGTCGAGGTAGAAGCTGAAGAGATCGGCGAGAAGGGCGAAGTTTCCATTACGTTTCGAGATGGTGGATGATGCTGGTCCTCTTCCATTTTCATCATTCGCGGTTTCTTGTGGGGTGGCTGTTCTGGTGGCGAGGCATTGAATCGCTGGTGTGGTCGAGGCTCGTCGTAGACTGCATGACAAAGGTAAAATGGATGAGATGGCCGCCTTCCTTGCGGTGAAGGAGGGGGGGCTTACCATCTGTTGGTGGAGAGTGGAGAGGAGAAGAACTGCCGTTGATGGCCGAGGTGAATGGTCGCTTGGGCACCTTAGATCTTCGTTTTGGCTTCTGAATTGAAGACGAAGAGATCAGTCTCCGCGGAAGACCGTTACGACAGTTGGTAAGGCTGGATGGACGTCGACTGCGCACCTTTACAATCTTCATCGAGTCGATTTCGTAGACCTCGTCGTCGCCGTTAAATCGCAGCCATATCGTACTTGTCTGCACAGAATCAAATGGAGGTTCAATGAGCCTGTCATTGACAGGGAAAGCGAGGGGGGGGATCTACCTTCTCCATATCGTCGGTGTTCACAATTGTGGCCTCGTAGAACATGGAGGACCACTCCTCCGTGTCGGGGATGTACCAAAGAGACAGTACGCGGTCTCCTGGCATCAAGGGATCCCTCAGATCGCGAGGAAACCGGATTACTTTGTGGTGCGGGATGGTCCAAGACTTCATCTTCTTATTCTCGGGGAACTCGTCCTTCACGACGTATCTGGAAAGGCCCGATCAGAAGGAACAAGTTAGCAGCTGGAGCCTCTCTAGAATCATCAATCGACTTGAAGAAGAGGGGCGCTTTACGTCATTTCGTCTTCATTCCAGGAGACGACCGAGGCCACAATCCACTCTTGTTTTCGCTTGGTGTAGGGCACCTGGGCAGCTACGGTCTGGCCGCGAGGCAGCCAGGCGATGATGTGATCATTAATGCGGGTGTTCGTGTCTAGCATTTTCGGCTTCCGTCTACGTGATGCCGCTGTGCGGGCTCAGAAGCCGCGGGTGGGAGGCCAGGAAGTAAATGAGGAGGAACGGGATGATGATGTCGATGGGGGGAAGGTTCAGCGGTCCGTCGGCATGGCCGTCTGTCGTCTTCACGGTTGGGGAGGCAGACAGTGCCGTCTGCTCTTTGGTGCTTTTGTCGACAACGAAAAAGAGAAAATCGCGGCGGTTGGCCAGCCCTTCTGTCGGCAAATTTTCCCTCCTTTTTCTCCCCACAAGCGCGTGCGATTGAGAGAAATGTTTTTGGGAAATGTATTTTCTTGTTGTGGAGAGCTTCGCAAAAGCAACAAAACGACAAATAAGCCTTCCGTCAGCGGCCGCATTGCCAAGAGGGTGAAGGTGGGCAGGAGGGAGGGTGGTGGGTAGAAAGAGACCTATGCACAGGTGTGGCCCGGGCATCACCAAGCCTCGCCGGCGTCTGGATGATGGCCTCGGGGGGCTGGCGGCGGCCTACTGCAGGTCGACCTCCTCCTTGGAGCGCAGCCTGGTGAGCTTCCTCAGGTCGTTGACGCTCCTCCAGCCAGACTGCAGCAATCACCACGTCGACCACACCACCAATTCGTCAGCCGAGGGGTGAGATGATGCACGCGTCGTGCGTTGTGTGCGGCACGCGGTGGCCGTCGGCGTACCTGAGCGCACTGCCTCTCGAGAGGGCGGAAGGCGCGGAGGCAGTACTCGCCGGTGCGGTGGTGGAGGCACTCGTCCATCTTGGCCAGGTACTGCGACCAGCACTGCTCGCTCTTGAGGGCGTGGGTGCTGGCCTTCCTCAGCAGGGTGCACTGGGCGTCACTGTTGCAACAATGACCAAGACGCCCAAGTCAACACCACACGTCGAGAAGAAATGAAAGAGAGAAAGAGAAAGTGGGAGCTGTACAGCTTGGTCTCCTTGACGTCGGGCTCGCTGCCTTCGGTGTAGAGCAGCATGCACGGGGCGAAGTTGCTGACGCTGGCCTCGCGCCTGTGCAGCAGTTTCTCTGTGGATTGGAACGAAGAGAAAGATGGAAGATGGACCACGGCGAGAGATAAGCAGCTGCGGTGGAGGAGGTGGTGCGCGGGGGCAAGGTGTAGGGCCTGAAAGGGGGATACCTCTGACTTCCTGGAGCCTGGTGCGCACGTAGCGGGTCTCGTCCTCGTCGAAGTCGTACTCCTTGCCTTCGGCGCTGGCCTCCTTGCTGAGGCTCCACTCGGCAGGCCTCCAGGGCTGCTCCTTGTAGCCCTCCTTGTACTTCTTCTTGTCCTTCTTGTCCTTCTTCTTATGCTTCTTGTCCTTCTTCTTGTCCTTCTTGCTCTTCTTCTTGTCCTTCTTGCTCTTCTTCTTTTTCTTGTCCTTCTTCTTGTCCTTCTTGCCCTTCTTCTTCTTTTTATCCTTCTTGTCCTTCTTCTTGTCTTTCTTCTTGTCTTTCTTGTCCTTCTCGTCCTTGAAGATCTTGCGCAGGTCCTCGCGATCGACGTAGTCGGTGACCCCGAACGATGCCAGCTGGCGCGAGTGGCTGATGATGGCCTGCACCTGCTGGTCCGAGAAGGTCCTCGCCAGGCACTGCGAGGTCAGGTCCTCCAGCTCTTCAATCGTAGGAAGAGACATCTTCTATCTTCTATCTGCTGTTGCTGTTTCTTTTCTTCTTTTTCAACAGATCTGTTGTTGCCTGTTGTGTCGCTCTACTCGCCGTGGATGCGCGGTGTGTAGTGTCTTGTAGTGTAGCTTAGGGGGGAAGATAAGAAAAAAGAAGAGGCGAACGATACTGGGGGTCTGGCCAGCTGCCAGGGTTGCCTCTCTCCCACGATTGGCCTGCGGATGGTCGACACAAAGTTGACCACAAACACCAGAAACTTCCCAGTTACGCTACGCGTTTTGTTTTGACGCGTGCGCTATGGCACGACACACGACGCACGACACACGACGCGAGCTCCGTGTCTAGATGATGGTCGGGTGGAGGGCAATGAGGAGACACGTGATATCGTCCGAACTGCCGCCTTTCCGCGCGCTTCGGCAGACCGACTCGCATATGTTGCGCAGCATCGTCACCGGCACGCCCGACTGGGCCGGTGCCGCCACCACCGGCGTCGCCGCCGCCTGCAGCTGCTGCTCCAGGTACAGCTGCGACACCGCCTTCACGCTCTCCTTGCTCGGACACACGTCCCACAAGCCTTCACCCACCCGCCCGTTAGACGCGTGTCCTGTCGTGTTGTGTGTTGTGTGTGTCGTGTTGTGTGTCGTGTGTGCGGTGGTGCGTGTCGTACCATCGGAGGCGATGAGGATGAATCGGTCGTCGGTGGAGATGGTGCGGCAGTCGATGTCGGGCAGGGCCACGACGACGCCCTCGCCGGCGTTGCCCCGTCGCTCCTGGATCTTGGCCATCTCCTTCACCTTGCGCTCCTTCTCCTTGAGCTGCTCCCGCTCCTTCCGGATCTGCTTCGACCGCTTCTTGAGGGCCTTGTCCTGCCGCCTCCGCATCTCCTTCTCCGTCATCGCCTCGTAGCTCTCGCCCTTCCGCCCCTTCTTTCCGCCCTTCGCCTTCTCACCCTCGCCGTCGCCTTCGCCGTCGCCGTTCTCGTGTCGCGGACTCGCCCCATCGCCGCCCCCGCCGCCCCCTCCGGCGTCGGCGTCGGCGTGGCCCTCCGAAGATGACGACGAGGCGGCGCCGGCGCGCTCCTTCTCCTTGGCGGCCTTCTTTTCGGCCTTGCGGGCCTTTTCGTCGGCCTCGAAGTCGGTGGCGGCGCGGAGGTCGGCCAGGCGCTGCGACTCGACCCAGCCCCACAGCTCGTCGTTGTCGAACGGCAGCCCCGCGTTCAGCTCCTTCCCGCGCTGCTGCGTCACCCGCCGGCTCGCCCGCCGCTCGGCCGTCGCGCTCTCGCCGGTCGCCGCCGCCGCCGTTCGCTCTTCGGTCGCCACGACGTCGGTCGAAACCGCGCCGCTCTCGTTTCCGCCGCCGTTGTCGCTTTCGTTCTTGTGGTTGTCGCTTTCGTTCTTTTCGTTGTTGTCGTCGTCGTCGCTGCTGCTGCTGTGCTCGTCGCTGAGGGCGTCGGCGTCGCGGTTGCGCCGCATCACGCTCCCGCTCCCCTTGATCTTGCGGATCTGGTACTCTTGCGGCGACATCTTCAGCGACCTGTCACCGAACGCACGCGCCACCTGTCGTGTGTATGTGTGTCGTCAGCGTGTGTCGTGTCGTGTGTCGTGTGTGTCGTGTGCGTGTGTCGTGTGGTGTACCGCGAGGACACCAAAGACTCGGCCGTTGGCGACGAAGCCGCCCTTGAGCTTCATGCGCTTCTTCTCCTTCTCGTTGGTGGCCTTGTGGTCCTCGGTGAGTTCGATGGTGCGCAGGTTCTTGAGGGTCTTGCGCGTCCACTTGCCCCGCTCCGCCACCCGCCGGTCCTCGTCCGACATCCGTCGCTCCCACCGACGCGGCGTCACCGAGTCCGCCGACTTTGACGACATCATCCCGCCCTCTACACGACACGACACGACACGACACACGCCGCACACGCCACACACGGGCGTCACTACACTTGAACGCGTGCATCGAAGAGAAGGAGGTCACCGCACGGGCGATGTGTCCGGGGATGGAGCTGTCAGAGTTGGTCTTCTTTAGTTCGGCGCCGTACAGCCGCGTCGGCAGCGGCGAGAACGGTTCCGACAGGCTCCCCTTACCCGAACCTGTTTTGTTGTTTTTCACAAAATTAAAAATAATTGATTAAAACCATTATAATTAATATATATTAAAGAAATAAAAAAATGAACTATGAAACATAAAATGAAAATGAAAATAAACGAACCTTTGACTTGGCCGAGCACGGCGCGGGTGTCGCCGGCGTGGGCGATGAAGACGCGGTTGTAGAGGAGGATGATGACCACCGCGCACGACCCGCTCGAGTCGCCCTTCTGCTCCGTGGTCCGGATCACCTCCCGGTCCATGTCCTCGAACCCGCGCCGGATGGCCTCGCGAATGCTGCGCACGCGGCACGACACACGCACACGCACACGCACACGACACACGACACACGCGAGTGAGCAACGCGACACGACACGACACGCAACGACACGCAACACGCGGGTGTGTGTACAGGGCTTCGTTGATGAGTTCGGGGTCGCGGAGGAAGAAGAGGCCGCGGGTGCGCTGGTTGATGATGTACTTGTGCAGGCGCGTGCTGACCGTCTCCACGCACAGCGATCCGCCGTGGCCGTCGTACACCGCAAAGAACGAAAGCGGCAGGTAGCCGCCCTCGTCGGCCTGGTCGTCGTTGCCGCTCTTTTCCTCTTTCCCTCCATCACCACCCTTGCTGCCCTTCTTCTTTTTCTTTTTCTTCTTCAGCTGCCAGGCTGTGGATGGGGCGGGGAGTGGAGAAAGCGAGATTTGTTTAACAAAATGAAATTAAAATCTCAACGCATTATCAATTGATTAAAAACTTGCACTGCGACGTTCCGTTAATCCTTCAAAATAACAACAAATCAAAAGCTAATCACAACAGACAGTGTGGGGCGCAAATGAACAGAGTGGCGGCGGGTACCTGGAGCTGAGATGTTGGGACACAGGTGGAGGTGGGTGAAGGCCACCCAGCGATCTTCGTTGGCATGCCTCTTGCCCGCGAGGGAGTACACGCCAAATGACGCAAAATCCAGTTCCATTGCTGGACCTGCCCGGCCTTGTGTGTTGTTCAAGATGCTACACGCCGGCGCATAATTTATTTGGCATTCTAGTTTTTGGTTCCCAAGGCAACAGAGAGGAGCTCAGCTGGCTTGCCCAGTGTGGGTTGTGGCTGGCCCTTGTGGGTGTTGGTGGTGGGCCAGCCCTGCCACCCAGCCTGGATAGCCCACCACCACTGGCCGCCACTACACGACACAACACACAACACACAACACAAGGAGATGAGCTCAAGCAAGCCAAGGGGAAGACTAAGGAAGGGAAAGCGTGGTGGTGGTACCCGAGAGGGAGGAAGCGAAGAGAGGAAGGCCGCCATGAAATGGCGGAGCACTTCGGGACTGCCGCCCTCCACGCACACCGACACGAAGTCTCCGCGCTGCTCCGCGCTCAGCTCCTCGTGCCGCTCATCGCCTACCACCCCTGCCATGGCACCGCACACGCACCACCGCACACGTGCACTTTAACACAACCGCACACACGCCCGTGCATGTCACCAACCAACGAATCGAACCTTCGTCGCCCTGTGCTGCGTTCGCGCGGTAGGTGAAGGTGGAGATATCGGTCTGCTCCACCACCAGCACCTCCACTCCGCCGCCGTCCTCCTCCTCATCCGCCGCCTCTTCCGCTGCCGTCTTCTTTTCCTTCGGCCGGGCCACCGGCCACTTGACGTTGCGCTGCCGTCGGGCCTTGTCCACCTGCCACACCCCGCACAGCAGCGCCTCCTCCGCCGCCGCCTCCGCCTCCGCCTCCACACGCTCGGCATCGGCCAACGACGCCGACGCCGACGCCGACGGTTCGTTCGACGTTGATGCTGGCGAATCCCCGTCGAGCGCGTTTGGCTCACGCGGCTCGGGCTCGGGCTCAACCTCGTGGTGGCGATGATCCGGCGATGCTGTATTGCCTCCGGCCACGCCCGCTGCAATCATCAGTCGCCGCCCGATGGCCTGGCGCGCCACGGCCACCTGGGCACGCTCGCGCGCGACCTCCTCTTCGTGCTGCGACGACGACGACGACGACAGGTGGTGGCGCACGAACTCGCCGGCCGCCCTTACGAGCCCGCGCCAGCCGCCGCCCAGCCACGTACCCCCGGCGTTGTCGCCATCGTCGGCCACGACGGCGGCGGCGATGGCGCGGTGGAGGACCACCAGGTCGGCCACGGTGCGCGGGGGCAGCGCGACCACCTCGTCGCTGCTGCCGACCCGCGGCAGGGCCAGCTTGACCCACCGCTCGGCGTGTAGTAGCGGGTCGTCACCAGCGGCATCGGCTTCGGCGGAGGCGGTGCGAACCTTGAGCTCGAGCTGGTGACCCCAGGGGCCTCCGCGCAGCTTGAGGCCGCAGCCCTCTTCGACCCACCGCCCCAGGGCCGCTTCGTCGTCATCGTAGTCGGTGGGTGATGCCAACGCCGCTACGCCATCTTCTTCTTCACTCACGGCAAGCTGCCGTGTAGCGCGAGAAGGGCGAGAGGGGGCGATGTGGAGGTAGAAGTCCGTCCGCCGCTCGATGGGTCCGCCTCCCTGTTTCTTTTTGCTGCCCTTCTTGCCCTTCTTTTGTTCATCTCCATCTTCTTGGATCTTCTCCTCCTTGTTTTTGTCCTTCTTCTTGTCCTTCTTCCCCTTCTTGTCCTTTTTCTTGTCCTTCTTCTTGCGCTTCTCCTCTTCTTCCTTCCACTTCGCCTTCAAATCCTTCTTGTGGCGCTTGGCCCATCGAAAGACGTCGAGCACGGCGTCTTCTCCTCCCTCCCTCTCCTCCTGCGCAGTTGGCGGGCACTCTACAGGGATGAACACCCGCAGTTCCCACCCAGCCACGCTCCACATCTATCCTTCAACTTGCGGGCGCGCTCGTTGTTTCAATCTCCGTCATAGGGGTCGTCGCAGCTCCAACGACAGCTTGCGTGGACCTCAAGCTAGGCTCCTTTCCGCACAGTTCCAGTGGAACCACAGTTCACAAAGATGGTGCCCATTTCTCACGATTGCAGATGGAAAAAAAAGTATTCAAAAATGGGAACAGAAGAACTGAAACAGTCGCTTACTGCTTGCCGTCCATCATGGCGTTGTACTTGGCGTGCGTCGAGACGTTCCTGTCGCGGCCGAGCAGCTTGGGCGAGTCCCTCTCGAGGTAGGGCTCCTGACCCTTGGACGAGAGCCTACAAATTGAGGCGATTAGCATCGAAATTCAACGAATAGGCCGAAGATGATGAAGCCATTGTGCTCGCAACATGTCAAGTGAAAAGGAGAGCGTACACAATCTCGTTGTGGCCGAAGAGGGTCCTGGTGCTGACGTAACCAGCCCACAAGCAACCACCGGCGATGAGCGGGAACAGGGTGAGCCACACGGGCTTAGTCTATGGGCAAAAGGAAGCAGAAGGTAGGTGAGATTGAGAAGAGGTAAAGCGGTCGAAGGAGGATCAAGAATCGATGGATCGGTTTTCATCATCGGAAAATTAAAAATGAAAGGAAGAAAGCTGAAGGAGCCGTACGCCTTCGTTGAAGACGCCGGGGGCCTTGCGGTTGAGTGCGCTCCAGGACATGTTGCAGGTGGAAGTGTTGGAAGTGATGAGGTGGTGTGGGTGTACAAGAAGATGAGAGGGTCAGCGCGGAAGCCACGCACCTCGCTTAGAAAACCCCGGCGAGACAGAATTTTAAAATATTTCACCAATGCTGTTGCCTGGCCGCTGGCCATTCCTCAAAAGCTTATCGGAGTTCAGGATCATTTACGGAAAGAGCAAACGTCTCAGGCCCAAACACGGGCCTGGGCATGTCGTGGCGTGCGCGCGGCGAACGCTGATCGGTTGATCATCGCCTAGGCTTCCCCCGCCCACCTTCACCTTCCTCCACAACATGTTCGCCTTCATGGTACCCGGGCGAGTAATTGCCGTTTACTTTGCTCTCTCTCTCTACAGGCCGAACATGGACGAGTAATTGCTGGCGTAGGCCATCGGCGGCATGTCCGGGTGAGGCTGCGCAGGCAAACACAACGCCACAGACACGCACATTCGGATTAGCGCGCGCGTTGTTGTTGTTGTGTGTGTCATGTGCGATTGTGGATTTTGCTCGCGTACCACAGCGTCGAAGGTGACGAAATTAGGCTTGAGATCGTCCTTGAAGATGACGATGGAGCCCTTGTTGCCCACCTGATCGCAGTAGTTGGGAGCGGAGAAGACGGTGATGCAACGACCGTCGTGGGCCACCTCATAGCCTCCGTCCTTGCACTCGTGCGAGCGCACGACGTACTCCAGATTGTTCTGCTCAAGGAACCGCTTCGTGACATCAGGACCAAAGGAAAGACCCACGCCTGTGCATGAATGATTCGACATGCGATAACGGAAATCGAGTCAGTCGTTTAGCTGGAGTGGTGCGTGTGTCATGGTGTGTCGTGTGTCGTTATGTACCTCGCTTAGAGGGCGACCTGCCAGGCTGGGGCTGAGGGTCGGCCCACATGATGTCGCACATGATGCCCTCGTCCGGCGGCTCTCGGAAGCGATCCAGCGTGCGAATGTCGTCCAAGGTAACTCCGTCCTTGGAGAACAGCCCTCCGTGGACCACCAGGATCTGCGAGTCAACGGCCGTGTGAGAGGGTGCACGAAGGAAGATCATCTTTATCATCATCAATGGCTGGGGCGGACCTTGTTGTTGATCAGAGTGCCCAGGGGCTGTGTGCAGAAGAGTGCAGTGAAGAGCTCGTAGATGAACTGCGAGTACTTGGCCTTCACTTCTCCCTCGAATCCGTACACCTGCAGCACCCCGCGGGGCGGGAGGAATGAATCTTTTGATGCAAGGCGCACTACCTGACCGCGTACTGCCGGACACGCACCTTGTTCATCGTTTGCGCTTCGTGGTTGCCTCGGTTGAGGAACACGTGCTGCGGGTACAGATACTTGAATGCCAACAGGGTGAGGATGACCTCGGTCGAGAAGCTCCCTCTGCGCGATAGAGTAGCGTACGTAGGCGTAAGCAAGCGCGTGCTCAACGCCGAGGGCTTCAGCAAGAGCAATAGCCAACGTACCGATCAACGAAATCGCCGTTGAACACGCACGGGTTGGTTTCTGATGGGTAGCCGTTGAGCTGGAAAACGTTGAGCAGGTCGTAGAACTGCCCGTGCACATCACCGAACACGGTGACTCGGCCGCCCGCGGGGAAGTTGAAGTCCACCAGCGTCGCCTCCGCCTCAAAAATCTTCTTCGTCTCTGACAGCAGCCTCAGCACGTACCTAGGCGCCGACGAACACAAGCCGCGATTGATCGCAAACAGCGGTGAGCACACAGTGTACATCACCAACACAGTTGTTTGAAACGCTGGCGTCACGGCGGACATGGACGTACTTCTTGTGAAGCCTCTTTTGCTTTTTGAAGTGCTCGATCATCTGCACCACGAAGTCGAGCGTGATGGGTCCTTGCAAGTGCGGTCCGTCATAGTCGCTGTCCACCACTGCACACAACGACTCTCGTCAGTCTCATGCTCGCAGGTGAGCCTCCATAGTAGGAACGAAAGCGGAAGTAGCGCTTGCCGATTGCGCGGTCTTGTTGTGGGGGCATGTGCGAGGGTTACCAATGGCATCGATGTCGCCGATGGTGTTGAAGGGCGACGAGGCCAGATGATCGACGGCAATGGCATCGCTCCAGCGGGCCTCCTTGTAGGCCTTCTCGCACTCCTTATACTTGACCCGGCAGTCTCTATCCTTGGGGGCGATCTTCACCGCCTGGTAATCAGACAGACAGACAGGCCCCAAGCAACGTAAGAGTCAGTCACCCCGTGGCACAAGCTCGGCGATGTGCTTCGCTAAGTCGTAGAAGAAGAAGAAGAAGAGAAATGGTATACCTCCTTGAAGTCTCGCAAGCTGTCTTTGAACTTGCGGAGTGCCAGGCTGGCGCTACCTCGCCGGTAGTACGCCTGGGGCGCGAAGAAGAATAAAGGCGGTGCAAGCCGACGCCGTTAACCACGTGAACGCCCACTAAGGGAGAGGGAGTGCGGTTACCTTCACGTAGGTGGGGTCGAGCTCAATCGCCTTTGTGGCATCTTCGATGGCCGAGCCGTAGCTCTCGAGTTTGATGTGGGCTGCGGCAACGAAGAGTGAGAAGGAGGGAAGAAAAGGATGGAAAGAGGAACTCAGTACCAAAGGCACGATTGGCATACAAAATCGCTGTGGGTGCAATTTCGATGGCCTTCGTGTAGGCCTCGATGGCGGGCTGAAACTTGTGGTCTGCG